GGGGGTGGGACCGAAAATGCCAACCCTCTAAACACAGTGACTGGTTCCCTTGGCAACCAGCTCCCATCTTTAGGGGCAGTCTAATAGTCCCCTCATTAACATAACAAAAGAACACTTGTCGGCTCTTATCACTCAGGAAATTCTAAGGGTTTTAGGAGCTCTGTGCCAGAAACAGTTACAAAGGTCAAATATATAGTTCTTATTCTAAATCGATATCACAAAGGGATGTTATAAAATGATTTTTAAAAAAAGGTTCAATTCACCAGGAAGATGTCATAATTCTGTATTTGAATGAGGCCTAAGGACAGCCTCAAATATCGAATGCAAAAATAGGTAAAACTACAAGGAAAAGAGAAAATATCCACAATCATCTGTCTCAGTATTCAACAGAATAAGTAGACCAAATTTTTAAAAAAAACATGAAAAGTACAGAAGATCTGAACCACACAATTAGCACTCTTTATCTAATGTACTTAAAGTAGAATACTGAAGAACCCCATAACTATATGACCACCAAACATTTACAAAAATGTGGCCATATGATGGTTCTTAATGAATATCAAAACATAGAAATCATCACAATGTGTTCTCAGATCGCAGTACAATTCAGCTAGAAATCAGTAACAAAATGGTAACTAAAAATCCTCCATATGTTTGGAAATTAAGAAATACACTTTTGAGAAGACAGGAGGGAATGAGATCCAGGGTCCAAGTGGGAGGTCGCCTTTGCCAAGAGGAAGTCCCATTCTTTTTGTCAGTCCCACCTCTGTGGGGCCAGTGGTCCCAGTGCCCCCTAGGGCAACTGTGGATTAAGTGCAAGCTGGATGAATTACCCTGGGAACTGTTCAGACATGGCTCCAAAGGGTGGGCTCCAGGCAGCGTTCACTTTGTTACTTTCATCAACTCTATGGCACCATCTCAAGGGGGACCCTGTGTAGTTCTCCATTTTTTCTTACAAGAGTACCCCTCGTTCTCTCCAAATTAGAGACATAACGGAGTAGCAGTGAGTGAGGTTAAGCTCCTCCACAAACTAACTGTCGTTCAGGTGAAGGTCTAAACGTTTCGTCCCGTGAGCAGCTCAAGACTGACGTTATTCTGGGAAAACAGATCCTGATGAAGCCGCATGCAGAAGAGCCACGGACCCCAAGTCTGCTTGGAAGTTAGGGGATGTCAGGCACAGTCGGGGTTGGGGCTATGATTCTCCTTAGAGTGGACTAACTGGAAAGGCGAGCCCCAAGTTCAAGGCCAGCGGTCTCTCCCCAGAGATGGAGAAGCAGTAGAGGGGTCCAGCAGAATTACAAGGGAAGTTTCCTCAACATAAAATACCCCTCCCGTAGGCAGAGGCCGTTCCAAGCCATAGAATGCTGCTTTTTATTCCTTTAGCACAAGAAACACTCTGCCCGCCCCTCTTCTTTTTCAAATGAAATCTTAGCATGCAAAACATAGACAAATAGAGGCAGTGAAGGGCCTGGAACCCCATGCTTGTGGTCAACCGCAACCACTACCATGCAGCCTGACCACAGACATTTTAGTCTGGACATTTTAAAAAGTATGTGTAACCAAACACCAAACTCAACCATTAAAAAAAAAAAATCTTAAGAAAGTTCCCACAGAAAGTCTAGCTTTGAGTAAGGCCACTTCCTGGTACAGTTTCCAGAGCAATCCTGATGTAAAATGTGTTTGAGAGTTCCTGGGTAAGGTAACCAACCAGCTGCATGGAGTTATTAATTATAAATGTTTTTTAAATTAAAAAAAAACAAACAAACAGCTAATAATGGTGACACTTGTAAACCAATCACCAGGAAGCCCTTCCTTTGGGAATTCTGTGAGTTATCAGAGACCAGTCAAGTCGATCCTATTTTAGGATAACAAAACCCTTTGATGTGTTAAGAGAATGTTTATCTTTTAATGGCTTGCAAATACCAAATCCAAAACAGTCCCAAGTCAAATAACACCAGGGTAAAAAGGAGAGAGGGGCCAGATTTTTATCCTTGCCTTCTATATCCACTGCATCTAGATAGAATTCCTTTCACTAGTATGATTTGCTCTGATGCTGTCAGCTCAGATAGGTGGATGCTACTTAAACCACCGTCACGACAACCCCAGGCAGGACCCTTTCAAATCTGTGAGTGTCCCAGGCAATCATCACTTTGGAGGGCCACACTGTGCTCACATCAAACATGTTAAAACGCACCCAAGAGCCTACATCAAATGGCTTCTGTTTAAAGGAATTGTATAACTTTGCTTTCAAAAAAATTTTTTTTGATGGCACAGTTTTTGTTGTTCGCATTTTGAATCTGGGAACTTTTTTTTTTTTTTTTTTAAGTCTCAAACATTTTTGAGACCCTTGAAAATCTCAGAGCCCCCTGGCACTGCTGTTATTCCTAGACCTACTGGAGAAGTCAGCCCTAGTCTATGAAGCTGACTGGGGGTTTACTGTGAGGAAGATGTCAAGAACTGTTTGTCCTATTAAGTAATGTCATCTCTGTGGGGACCCAACAGGGAAATTCCTGACTGCTTTTGCTATGGAGAGCAGTTCTGCCTCTTCTGTTGTTTTCATCTTGTGAGCCCATGGATCAGACACGATCATGTTACCTTCTTCACGCTCGCTACCAGGAAGCTTAGAAAATGCGCTCATGGATCCATCTTGTATTTCCTACCCTTTCTCTTCTCCTCGTCTCTTCTCATTTATTTTAAATTTATTCTATCTAGTTTAATTAATTGCATGTATGCTTCCTTAAACCCTTTTTTGGGCCAAGACAGGATGTCGATAAATCAATACATCGTGTTATTTTCCTCTAAAATGTCTTTCTCCCACATTTTCTATTTACGACGACCCTTCTATTAAAGTGTTAGTTCATGTTTGCTGGGGGGACTTTCCATCGGCCAGCAGTATGCGAAGCATCATACATGGACAACCCCCTCTGAGATATGTGCTACTGTCCTATGACTTTTCAGATAAAGAACCAGGGGCTTGGATGTATAAAGGAACTTGCTGGGGCCAATCAGAGGCAGGGCTGGAATTTCACCCACTCGCCCCAGCCGGACACCTTGCTGTTATCCTGCAGGCCTCTTCCTGGATTCCTTTCTGTTGATCTGGCCTCGTAAGCACCTCTAGATTCTGTTCCCCTCTTCGCTATTCTCAGTCCAATCTTTTATTTCAGGGCCCTTCCAATCTCTGGCTGGGATTTTTTTTACGATCGCTTCTTAGATGATCTGAGTCCAGGCTCATCCTCCAAAGATGGAGCCTCCACACCTCAGGAATACAAAAGTGTCCATGAGTTCCAGAGTCCGGTTTCCTCTGTCCACCATGCAAGACCATTACAGTCTGTTCTTGGCCTAACGAGCCACGCCATGCTCCGCAGACAGTAATTACTTCCCAGGCCTGGTAAAGAACACATCTTTCAACTCCAGGTCGGATGCCACCTCCACTGGGAAATGTTCTCTGAAGCTCCCTAGTCCCTAACCCCCGTCTGTGAATTGCTCACTCTTTTTATTTTTTAGGCGAGGCAACCCTTGGTTGACCTCACAGATTGCAAGGACCTTGTCAGTTTACAATCCCTTATTTTTCATTTTTTACGCCTACAGCACCTGGTCTTCCTAGGTGGTCTCCCATCCAAGTACTAACCAGGCCCGACCCTGCTTAGCTTCTGAGATCAGACAGGATTGGGCGAATTTCCCATTCTTTGCAGAGACCACCCCACCACACTTATTTTGTCGTGTTGTCATTATCTGTCCATCCCCCTCACGGGACCTTGAGATCCTCGAAGACAGGACGGTGCTGCCTCAGCCACCTCAGAATCCGTCGAACCGAGGGTCCAGCACACAACAGCTGCTCAGTAATTGCTGACGGCTCAACCGAGCGAGCGGTAGACCAAAACTGGAGTTTTGCACACTGCCTGCAGATCACCCTCCCTCGCTTCTGCCCCCAACCCCTACGCCCATGAAGATAGGGCCACCACTAATTTGTACCTTTGGGCAAATTAGAGAAAAGTGCCTCTTCTAGCAAATCCGTTCCTCTGTGAATCCCTCCCTTGTGCCTCTCAGGCAGATTTGACCCCTTCCTGTTCTACAGCCCCAAACTCTGGAAGATACCCATATCTGGGTCTTACCATATTGCCTCTCAATGCTTTCTTCACTGCTCGGTCTCCCTGCAGGACTGTGAGTAGGCAAAGCAGGGATCATGTCTTGGTCATCTCTGAGTCTCAAATGTCTCGGATGAGGCCTTCCATATTCACGGTAGATATTCGATAAATGTTTTAGGCTGAAGGCAGTGCTCTGATCAAGTTACTACCCCGTTCAAAATCTTCACAAAGTCTCCAAGTTGCCTCCTGACTGTTTCAAACTCCCTGGTGTGGCGCATCGGAAGGCTTCGCTGGTCCCCTCCCCACCTCGCTCTCCTCGGGTCCCCGACCCTCATCTGTGCTGGGGGCGCAGTGGACTTCTGAGCACCTCTACCTCTGGGCCCTCACTCACCTGTCCCTTCTGCCAACAATACGTCGTCTCCTCTTTGCCTGTCCAAATTCTATCCATCCCTCAAGACCCAACCCAAATGCCACCTTCACGGAGCATCCCATCCACAGATGCGGCTGCTTGCCGCTGAGAATCAATGTATTTCTTCCCGAGTCACGGCTCTGTGTCGGAGTGTGTGTTTGAAACGAAAGTGCTTTTCTCCCAGACTTCAGCATAGTGCACATAGTAAGTGTGCACTCACTATCAGGCTACAAGGAATAGGCAATCTAGCCTCTCTCCAGCCCTTTTTTTTTTTTTTTTTCTTTTTCTCAGTATGGGCAAAAAAAAAACGTGAGCTCAAGGAAACACCGCATAATTGCCCCTCCCTTCTCCCCGCAGCCACATAGTTTGGCTTCCCTTCTAGAGAGGTTAAAAGCAAGTGTGACAGAACTTTCCTTTGCTCCACCCCCTCTATTTGCCCCAAAACACAGAGTAGAAATTCACCTCTGACAGCATTGTTTTCAAGCTCCTGCAGGACAGGACACACACAGGACACCTGGCACTCAGCACACGTCGGGCGCGATGGTGCAGGCAGACGCCTTTCTCCCCAGGATGAAGCGCCTCGCCGCTGTGCCTCGCGCTGCCCTGGTCCTCAGCCTGGTCCTCTGCTCCTTCCACTCGGCTCCCTTGGCAGGTAGAACTGTGAGCTTTATTCTCAGCCACACGGGGAAAGGGAAGGGGAAGGGAGGGACAGAGGGAGGGGAAAAAAGGAGGATTCCTTGGCTAGGGTTGGTCCTGCATAAAGGAAAGAGGAAACAGTTCTTTTTCATCTGAAGGATTTGGCAGGGGGTGGTGGGGTGGGGTGGGGTGGGGGTAGTCTAAGATTACTCCTGTCCTCAGCTAGGACACGGGCGGTCACCTCTGCTGACCTTTGCCACAAAGGAAGGGAAAAAAGCAGTGTACAGTCTCTCTCCCATCGAGGGACCAAATCAGCCTAAATGGACACCTCCTGGGTACTCTTTCTCTGTGGCCCCTTCTCAGTGCCCCCGACCTGCTGTGCTTCACCTTGGCACCTCCTCCCCTCACCTGAGGTGCTCTGTCCCTCCCTTGACCCTGTGCTTCCCTGGCAGACTTCACGAAACCTTAAGGCATGAAAGCTGCCATAAGCTGCCTACCATTCTCCCACGTTCCCCGGGCACGGGAGAGGTTGGGCTATTGCCATGTGGAGGCTGGAGGGGCCGAGGCCATCCGCATCAAGCTCCCCCAGGCTGGGCTCTGCACCCCATGCTCCTGGCTTTTGCCTCTGGCTTTGATCCTCCTCCTCCCCTCAGAGTCTCTACCTGGCTCCCTCACAAGAGTCTCTCTCCCTCTCTCAAAAACAATCTTCTCTGCCCCCACTTCAGCCTGTATCTGTCTTTCATCTTCATAGTCTCTCCTATGGAGGCTCAGAGTGTGGGCTCTCGAACCCAGCAAGGCTCAATTCTGGCTTGCACGACCTGCTAGCTGTGTGACCTTGAGCAAATTACTTACCCTCTCTGGGCCCCACTTACCTCATTTACGATAAAGCTTATATGTAGGGTTGTTATAAAGATGAAATGACTGGGCCGCAGGTAAGATACCTTTTAATAAACTAACTCATGGTTTTATTGTCCAGTACAACTCTTCCCCAAATAAGAGTGTTTTCTGTTTACACTCACGGCGCCTTATTTAGGATAGGGCCTCAAAAAAACATGACAAATTTAACTATACTGAATAGCTGGGTCTTCCTAGCAGCCTTTACTTTGGAGGTGACCCCAAGGGGGACCAGTCTCTGGCTGGCTCTGCTTATGAGGGAGGAGGGTGCTGTTTAAATCTTAGGAACTTATAAGTTTTGTTGGAACCATATAAAAGTGCTGATACTGAACAGTGTTTGACCCACAGAAATGGCAATTTCACATGATTTACCCTAATCCTGGCATCCAATTCTCTAGGGTTTTTTTTCACCACTCAGTTGCTCGAGACAGGGACCACTTCCGTTCTAGGGGAGAGGGGAGGTGAAAGTCAGGGCCAAGGAAGTTGTCTGGGTTACAAGGAACATTAAAACATTGAGGAATCCATTCCTTCAAAACAAAGACGGAGCTCTAAGCCATTCAGCTGTAAATAATTTACAGTAACAACCAGATTGCATCAAGGTAATGACTATACTTTAGGACGGACATTGGCCGGCTTGGGGGTGGGCGGCATAAAATTAGTCCGAGTAGCAATTTCATGCCGTTAGCTATTCAAGAAGTTTCTTCTTAACTGGTCCTGCTATGTGACAACAAGCTCCTTTGAAGGAAATGCTGATCTAGAGTCAGTGGAGCCTTGAGAGTTTCCAATCCATTTTTTATTTTCTGCATTCCCAAGAAGCAGAAGGAACAGCAATACTATTTCTAGAAAGATTTTCCCAGATTGGTCTCTTGGTCTTGACCTATGTAGGTTGGCACTCACAGAACATTTTTTGCTGAGAGCAGTGTTTCTCCTCTCTCCTGGGCTGCCAGCATGACAGTCACTAGCCACACATCGTGATCAAGCACCTTAAATGGGGCTAATCTGACCAAGAAACTCAACTTTTTAATTGAAACAGTCACCTGTGGCTGCTGCATGAGACAGAGTGGGCCGAGACGACCTGTCTTCGCACTGTCTTGTGAGAAGGAGCATGGGCACTCTTTCTGCTTCCCTGGAGCCCCTCGTGTTCATCTCCGCAACCCCTCCTCACCCCCCAAACCTGGGCAGAGCTTCGAGAATTCCCGCCGAAGTCCTTTGATCGTCGTGCTCCATGCTTATCAATCAAGGGGCAATTCTCGGCGCTGCATATGCTGGCAGCCTCCACACTTGCCTGTATGGTGTTTAATTCTTTTTGATAACCATCTCCCGTTTTTGGACAATGATACAATTATCATTGTCAGAAATCCAGACTCAAGGTCAGATTTCAATGTTTATTTGTTCAAGGTTTGGAAAGGAACTGGACATAGCTATGAAAAGATACTCCCGATTTTTAAATGAGTGTGTTAGTAGATACTAGAAAAACCATTTTGTATGTATGTATCTGCACAGAAAGCAGCCCAAACAGAGTGTTAGCTGTAAAATTAAAGACAAGGAGAAATGGAGATAAAGCATCTCTGAATGAGAGAAGACAATGATAGGAAAAGCGGGGTGTATGAGTTTGCGAGAGCTGCCGTAACAAAATAGCACACTGAGTGGCTTCAACAAGAGATCTGTCCTCTCACAGGTCTGGAGGCCCAGGCGTTGGCAAGGTTGGCCACCCCTGAGGCCCTTCTCCGCGGCTCGCAGATGGCCACCTTCTCTCTGCCTCCTTGCGTGGTCGTTCCTGTGTGTGCGCACATCGTGGGGTCTCTCCCCGTCACAGGACGCCAGTCATCCTGGAGGAGGGCACACCCACATGACCCCCTTTCGCCTTATAATTACCTCTTTAAAGGTCTTACCTCCAAATATCATCGCTACTGGGGTTAGGATTTCGACATAGAAACCGTGCGTAACAGGGGTTGGCTCTGTCACATGAAGCCTAGACTGGAGCTTCTGTAACACTTTTGTAATGCTCACTACTGGTTTACAAAAAAGATGCCAAACTCTATGCCTGGGAATGGCTCTTCCTAGTGCCTGAGACTGTCTCCTGTCTTTCTTCCAGAAGCAAGCAGTGGCAGCAACTCAACCTTGACCGTCCACCATCCAGACCCTGAAACCCTGGAGCAGTGCCTCAGTAAGCTTCTGCCAACTGCTCTGACCAGAGCTGGCCCTGGGGCTGGGAGGGAAACTCAAGCCTCCTGGCTTTCTGTTAATCAGCATCATCCGGGTGAGCCCAGCCTGGCCTTCCTGCGCACTGCTGTGGACTGTTCAGGGCCCCCAGAACTGTGGGCAGAGTCTGTCTAAAAAGCTATCTCAGGCTTGGCCCCTGTCTAGGCTCACCATCTTTGGTATAGGTAGCTTTAATGACCCGTCCCCAGGACAGCAGCCAAAGACGCCCCGAGTTCAAAGACTTGTGGCAGTATGGCGGTAGGAAGACCACAAAAATCAGTGAGTCCCACTTCGACCCAAGGCAGCACCTTCATTTCCTGTACCCTTTGCATATTTCTGTTCATCCTCTACTTGAATACTTCCAGCCACAAGGTGGTCGGTACTTTATAGAGCGACCGCTGTTACGCACGTCTAATTAATAGGAAGTTTTGCTGTTTTCTAAGTCTGGCTCCCTTTATTCCATTCTCACTGAATGACCAAAGGCATCCACTTCCGGGCACTTGCAAAGGAGAGTCAGCAATAATATGTAGGGGTTAAGAACATGGCTTTGGAGTCCTGCAGACTCGGGTTTGAGTTCTAGTTCGGCCATCTCATGACCTTGGCCCAAGTTACAGCTTCGGTTTCTTCGTGTAAAATGGGCATAATAACTACCTATCACTTAGTGAGGAACAAATAAGGTCACGTGTGCCGAGCCTTCAGCGTACCACGTGGCCAGCTTTAGCAAAGGTTAGCTGCCGTGTCATTGTTCTCATTGTCACGAACGTTACGAAGGAGCTGGGCGGGCCCGGTGTGACGCCCCCGGCATTCTTGCTGTCTCTTCCCTACCAGATGTGGACTTCTGCCCACAAGCAGCCCGGTGTTGCCGCATTGGAGTGGATGAGTACGGCTGGATCATGGCTGCCATTGGCTGGAGTCTTTGGTTTCTCACCCTCATTCTGCTCTGTGTGGATAAACTGCTGAAGTTAACTCCAGACGAGCCCAAGGACTTGCAAGCCTGAGACAGAGAACCGTAGCCCTGAGAACGTCGATCGCCCTCCGATTATGGATAACAGCAGGAACAGAGTAGCCCTGATGTGGTTTCTATTATTTTAGTCATTTTTACCTTCAAACGTCCATTTCTTTTAAAAGAGAAGGAAGAAGAAAAAGGGGGATCCGAATAAGCCAAGGCCAAGGCTGCCTTCATGCCTAAGTTCCAGAGGCACTCGGGCGCTCTAAGCCCTGTCTACATCCTTTCTCGAGATCGTCTCCATGGGACTTGCTTCTGTTTTAACCATCGCTTTCTTCTGGGCACAAAGGGTGGCGCGTAAGAAACAGGAGACTTAGTCCTCTAGTCGACACATTTGAAGTTCAACTCATAACCCTCTTACCCCAAACAGGTATCTGCTGTCCCGCACGTCGGTCAAGGGCACCTCTGTCATTTCGAACCGCTGGATCACCTCTGATGCCCCCACTGTGCCCACGCCCGTGTCCGGCGCTTCTCCAGTCCCTGCTATTTCTTCAATAATACCTTCCGTGGCCATCCGGTGCCGTTCGCCCTGCCAGCACCCTAGTTCTGGCCTTCGCCACATCATCCCCGCTTTAGTTCAGGAACGTTTCCTTCCACTCGCTCTGCCTCCAGGATCTTCCTCCCCAGCTCACCACTCCCCATGGACAGCTGCCAGTGTTGTCACGTCCCTGCTGACAACCTTCGGTGACTCCTCATGATGGAGACCTTAGAGCCTGGCATTCGGCTATTCTCATGAGTCCAGCCATGTTCCCTGGCCTGACCCCCAGCTCAGGAGGCGAAGGAAGGGTTCAGATTGGCCCAGTCTGCTTCTCTGCTACCTTCCAACTCTGCCTCCCAACTCCATCTACAGAATGAAGGCCATTGCACTGAGTCCAGATCAAATGCTTGCTCTGCCTGGAGCCTTCCCAATCATCTTGGGGGGCTGTGAGCTGGTGCTCTTAGCTGCTCTGGCCTGAGATGCAGCCATCAAGAATGAACCTCCTTCACAATCAGTTAATACTTCTGGGGCACAGCAAGCTCTTCCTAACGTTTGCCCGATGAATGACTAAATGAATGAGTCCTTCCCCCAGGGGAACTGTGACTGTCACTTTGCATTCACAGCCTCCATTTCTCTATAGATGGTCGAAATAACCAAACTTCTGAAGAAGCCAGTTGGTTTGATTCCTGTTCTCTCTGAATCACTTAGCACAAGGATGTCGCCTGTCACTGTGAACTCAGCCAACGGGGTGGGGAATAAAGGAGGATGGGTCCATTAGAAGGAAGAGTCTTAGACTACATCAAAGTGAATGATAGTAGTTGCTGCCACTGTCACCTTAAAATTCAGGTATTCTGTCAATTGCTT